TATTATAAAGAGAGATAAAGCCTATATTTGATAAAAATTCTCATTTTCAACAGTAAATTAATTTTCATTTGTAACCACACATTCTTCAATAAAATAATATTTTTCATCACATCAATAACTTTTTTTCATTTTCAACCACATATTCCCTATCGTATCAATAGTAAAAATACATTCTTACTCCCAAAATGTGCACCAAACAAGCTCTGATANTCTTGCTTCACATTTAGGGTATGTTTGGTAAAAATTCTCATTTTCAACAGTAAATCAATTCTCATTTTCAACCACACATTCTTCAATAAAATAATATTTTCTATCACATCAATAATCTTATCTTCTTTTTCAACCACATATTTCCCATCATATCACTATTCAAAATCAATTCTTCTCCCAAAAAATCCCTACCAAACACACACTAAATACTAATTTTCTTTTCGTCTCACCAAATTGATGCTCTTTAGCCCATGTTTGGTGACCTTTATTTAAAAGAAACTATGTTTTGAATAATATTTTTGGGGGAATGCGTGATTAAAATGTAGGGAAAAATTTTGAATTTATGTATAGAGTATTTTATTGTATGAATGTATGATTCAAAATGAATATGAAAAATAAATTAAAATAAAGTAAAATAAATTAAATGAAATAGCTTGATCAAATTGCTCTATAGGATGAGGCTGAAATTTGGCTCCTATTAAAATTGTAATTTTTTTTTCTCTTCTTATTAATAATACATTTTTCAATAAAATAATATTATACGTAATTTCAATTTTTTTTTAATCATATATTTTTTAAAAAATTTCAAACGATGGGGCCAAACGGTGGCTTGAGTTTGAACCATCAAGGCATCAACGACTACACATGTCAATTGTCAAACAAGGAGGATGGTGGTACAAAAACGACACAGACCCACCATGTGAAACGGCAAAGGGATTTGACTGGTAGCGTCCTAAATTCAAAAAAGCGGGCCCCGCCCTCCTATCTCAATCTTCAACCAATTAAATTTTTCCCCCTTTCAAATCGAGATTCAAATTTTTACCAGTCACATTAGGGTTTTTTAATTACACATCATGGAATGAAATTTATGATTTACACAAGTAGCTTAAATTCTTTTAATAATAACCTTCCTGTAATTGCTGTAAATTTTGATGGTAATTTTCTCTATCTTCAAGAATTTCTTTCATTTTTTTAGAACTTTTCACTGTACAGAAACGTATCACAGCCGTTGAAGTTCAAAGCTTCTCTCCAACGAAGTCTTTACATTTTCATCTCCAAACTGTCTCTCATTCATCCATTTCAATCTGCTCATTTTAGAGAGAGAAAACGTGAGGATCGGACTGTGATCGTGAATTTTAGAGAGAGAAAATGAATGCTGTTGGAAGGCAGAGATCTGGTGCCTCATCCACTGTGCACCACCAGCGGCAGTACTCCGATGACTTTCTAGAATCATCACCTAACAACCGATGGCTGCAATCAGCTGGTCTTCAGCATAAGCAGTCCTCGAACAATGCAGTTCCTCCACTTCAGGTGCATTTCCTTAATTTTGCGTTGCTTGTTGACCATATGTCTGAATATCTGAATTCTGCAATAGAAAATTTACGAATTTTGATTTTTTTTTTTTCAAAATTAGGAT